TCTATCTTTAGTTGTATATTTAGTTGTATAGCTTCTAATTTTTTTTTTTTTTGTTTTTACCTTATGTCGCCATAACGTATATTAGCTTTACGCTAAAAAACGGACAGGGTCTACATATATACATACGCTGTGCGTGTACGTTTGCGTTCGCGTACTATCGGAACCATCCTAATTCTGTATTCGTGTTTTGATTGACTCGTTATCCCAAGATGCCACGCATTTCCCCTCCGTAAACAATCGGTTAATGATGATGCCCTCGCACTTACCTATTCACGGGGTCGACTTCACACCCAAGGCGTTGCTCGTTGCTGATTGTGAAACACTTTTTTTTTTCTTCTTCCCGTCTTTTTCTCTGCTTGACCTTCCTTTTCTACACTTCTTTCCTCTTTTTGATTTTTTTTTTTTTTCTTCGGCTTATTTCGTCCGTCTCGCGCACGTAGCCAGCCAGATCCCTTGCCTTTCCTGTCTCCCGTCTCGCCGTTCACTCTCTTCCTGAATATGCTGCGGCCTCGTCTTCCCTTCCTCTTGGGTGAGGGCGAGAGACTTGTTATTACCGAATGGTTGTTCGGTGATCGGTGAGCGTGAAGGATTCTTGTCGTTTTGCGTTTTATTTATTTTTTTATTCCCTCCGTTTCATTCGCATAGGGGATTGAAAGAAGCTCTCGAATGGGAGGGTATTTCTAAACGCAGCATGTTTTTGAAAGGCTGTGAAATCCTAAAAAATCCCTGGAGGCAATAATGATCGTTGCCATAGAGAGAAAGGGAAAGATGCAAGTGTATCCCGTGAAAGTGGTCTTATTATAACCCAACTGGTGGCTTCTCTGAAATGGTAGTTTGGAATACTAAGATGTAATTTTTTTTTTTACTAAATCCTTAGGGAAACATCTCAGTGTGTCCGAGGCAGTGAGAGATTGCGCGTATGGGAGACTTTAACTTTTTTAAATGGCGAAATATATGTTAATTTATTCTTTTATTGTGTGTGGTTTTAGTTTTGGGAGAGGAGAGTTGGATTTTCGGGTCTATAATCTAGTAGGGAAATGCAGAAAATAGGATTAGTCTTTGAAAACAAACGAACGACCTTGTTGCCATTACCTCAGTGTTCATGAAAAACTAAGAATACGCGTTCTGTGTTCTATCGAGAGGGATTTTCACCGATGGAAAAACGACGGAAGATGTCTGAAATGCCGAAGGGAAAGGAGACAACGAAACGTGGAGTAAGGTTTGTGTGTAATTATATCGTCTTTTGCTCTTGTGTCTTTTCGAAGTTGATTGTGTGGGTGTTTTTTGGGTTACTCGTGTGTGGGCAGTTTATGGCTTTATGAATTCTTTCTTTTCTTTAATTTTCTTTCTCTTTCCTTCCCTACACCTCTCTCTCTCTCTTTCTCTCCCTCCATTCCTTCCTTCCCCTCCCCTTTATCCCTATCGCCCTCTCGTCCCTACTTCTTCCCTCATATTTCCTTCCACCCTTCTCTCCCTTTCCCATCATACCAATGCGTCTGTATATTATCAGGTAATCCAATGGCATCCCCCAGCACCCCAACCCCCCACCCCCCGCCCATTCTCTCTTCTATTCTCTATACACCCCCATTTATCACCACCTAACGTGTCTCCCTTTTGCCCTCCCGTTTCCAGTTCTACGTGCAAGCATCCCTGGCGTCTGGCATGCAGCCGGCGCCGCCCGCGATAGCCCCGGCGCCGGGACCCCAGACGAGCACCACCACGGTGTCGGCCATCCCCCAGCCCCTGCAGCACCACCTGGCCCCCCAGCCGCTCACGCACCCGGGGGTCTCGCCGTCGCCGATGCCACAGGTAGGGCGTGGAAGGGGGGACGCGTGGGGACACCCAGGGGGGACATAGGGTGTGTGTGTGTGTGTGTGTGTGTTTGTGTTTGTGTTTGTGTTTGTTTGTTTTATATGTATGTATGTGTAGATGTATTTACCACCCAACATTTTATTTATATATACATGTCACATTTGTTGGAGTAGGTTCTTAAGAAATGATATTTCTGAAGGACATTTTTTCTAAAATAAAGTAGCTGCTATATTCTCTTGGTCTTTGTTCATTTTGTATTTTAATTTTCATCATTTATTATTGATAAGGTATATTGTAAATGGTGTAGATGGAAATAGTAGGAGCCCATACATATATCATTTATAAAATTTTATGAATCACATTTGTTTTGTGAAATCCCCGCAAATGATTGCCAATACTAACTGTAGAAAACCCTGTCTTTAATACTAGATAATTAAGATACACCATTAAATGACATGCGATTACTAAATCTCGGAATGTTTCAGTTCTCCCCCCAGGTGCAAGTGATACAGGGTGGCATACCTGGAGGGCCATACTTACAGCAGTTGTACCACAATGGCCAGGGCCAGCTGATCATGCCCAGCAACCTCACCCTCCAGACCGCCACGGGCATGAACGCAACGCCCATCCAGCCCAACACCTTGAATGGCTTGAGTCAGCCCATCCAAGTGAGTAGTTATTGTGAATAGGAGGTTATAAGCTCTAAAAAAAAAAAAAAAATGAACGATACTAAGGAACTGATAAGATAAAACCTTTTCATGTAGTATAATGTTCATGTTTTGTGAAGTACCGCATGGAGAATGCATGTTTAGTGTCCGTGTTATATACTTTTGTGGTATGAATAACTCCAAGCATGAAGGAGACTCAGTCTCAACTTTAATCAGAACATGTTGCCTCAGGTCATTGCAACAGGGAAGCCATTCCAAGGGCAGATTGCTCCTCACATGCTGACCACCGCTGGGAAGTCTGGAGTCCTGCAAACGGGTGGACAAGGTAATTTTTTTAGACTTTACTTCTCTAGTTTCTCGTCTCTTTCTCTCTCCTATATCCATACTGAGTATAATCTGATATATTGTTCTTTTCTTCTTCATTTAATTGCATTTAATTAAACTGGAAGAAAAAAGTTTTCCTCGATTGATCCGACACCATTGCCCATCGTCCTAATTTTCTTTTCCCATAGGTTACTCCCCCACAGCTATACCTACAACAGCAAGTCAGACTTTAGTGATTGGTCAGTTGCCAGTGGGTGTCATCAGCAGTCAGCAACACAATATACTTCCTGCTCATTCTTCAACCCACAAGCCTACAGACATGCAGAAAGTAAGTCTTGACACCTTGAATTTGTAGTTGTTCTTGGAGTAATAGATATTGGGGATCACTTGAGAATGTGATATTTAGGTATTGCTGAGTGAGTAATCTTGAGATTCATGAGTAAGGAAAATGCTTTGTATCTTTTATTTAGGTCTGGTGAAAAAATGCTTGTAGATAAATCAATGGAAACTAAGATGATTAATGTTTTATGTTCTCTCTTCTCTGCACAACAGCAAGGCATCACTTGGGCCACGCCAGGTGCCTTACACTCTCCTGCCCTCCTTACTGCTCAGAATCAGCCTATTTTCATCCGTGGACCACAACAGGGACAAGAAAATGTCTTTATATCTAACCCACAACCAGCTATGCATGTACCCAATTGTAAGTAATTTCTGCTTATGAAATGTCTGTGTAAAAGTGTGCATGTAGAGCATGTGCTGGGATCTTATGAAGTGAATTTATATGCATCCAGAACTAATGAAACCATTGGCCTATGCACACATACCTTGCTAACAGACCAATCTCTCCTGTAGCCATGATGCCGCCTCTAGGATCAATGCAGCCGGGCCCACAGAATCAGAAGCCAAGAGCGGGGATGGAGATTCAGCCGAAAACACCCAACATGCGCCCAGCAATCCTTCCTTCCAATTCCACACAAATACGACATGGTTCCTCTGTGTCGACCCAGACTGCCGGCCAACAGCTTGCCCCTGGACACATGTCTGCACCCAGAGCACAGGTGAGCATTATTTTGAAGAAAGTTTGTTGCTATGTATGGAGGAAGTACCTGTTTATGTGTATTTGTTTTTGCATTTACCTGTAACTAGAACAGTTCATGTGAATCTGCCTTCACTTGACAGAATAAGATGCGCGGGAAGAGTGGAGCAAATCGAACGTCCCCAGCCATGGCGCCCACCCCACAGATGACGGCCACTCAAGTGAATCACAGTGTTGCAACAGCCAATGCAGTTGCTGTGGGGACTGCCAACACTGCAACACAGATTATGCAGCAACCCACAGTCTCTCAGGCACCAATGTCAACAGTGACCCCAACATCTATTACTGCTCCAAATAAACTTAACACTCAGTCTGCTGCACCCATACAAGCTATCTCCAGTATGACTCAGGCCAAGTAAGTGCAATAGAAGTGATCTCAGTTATATTACTTTCAGAAAACAAATAAACTAAATACATTGAACAGATATTCCTAATTTTGCATTATAAGTGACAGCATGTAAGTCACTTGCTTCATAGCTTCAACCATTTCAGGCCTGGTGTCCCAATGACCCCTCCGACAGCACCTCTCCCTCCAGTGGCACAACCCCCACCGGGCTTACCTCAGTTAGTGAGAGCCCCCCCACCCAAGCCACCTCCGACATCAGTGGCCATCCCTCAGGTGTCCGTGGCGCCATCTCCTCCAGCCCTCATTTCAAGCGTAGCAATGCAAGGCACAACACCAGTTCAGACCTTGACGAGCCAAGCGCCAATCACCAGCCACGCTCCAATTCTGGCCCCAGCCGGCATGCCTCAAATGCAGGTCACTTCCACAGTGGCTCCAGTTACAACCTCCCTTCAGCCGCCAACGCTTGCCCCAGCCATGGCACCAATTTCCTCCACCCCTCCCACTCTGCAGCACAAGCAGCAGGAGGTGAAGGCAGAAAATAGTCCAGCCAAGAAGCTTAATACCATGCCTCCAGTTAGTACAACTACAACAGTGACCGTGACACCTGCCACTCAAGCCCCCCCACAGCCACAGCCACCCCCAACACCTGCCCCAACACCCACTCCAACTCCAACACAAACCCCAACCTTAACTCCAATTCAGACTCCTACTCCAACCCAGGCACAAACTCCCACCCCCACTCCTACTCCCACACAAACACCAATGCCTACTCCAGCACCAACGCCAGCTCTTGTGCCAGCCCCAGTGGCAGCTCCTCCAACTCCAACAGTTAACGGCACACCATCCAGTGAAAGTGGGGAAGGTATGTTCTGTTCTCTTGTATTCGTCAATTGATCATATTTAGAACTAAGTGCATGTATAACTGCATATTTCTACAGCTGACAACTGTCGACCATACTTTTATAACCTGCCCTTTTCCTACCCTGCAGTAAGAGATAAGACTCCCCAGCCAACCATGAATGGCACTCACCCAGTCACCCCTCAGCCACCAAGCACTGGGCCACCCAAAGCCATGGTGAAGCCTCAAGTCCTCACACATGTTATCGAAGGCTTTGTTATTCATGAAGGTAAGAGTCGCTGTACAGGAAGAAAACGTTCTGTTATCAGCTCTTGTCTGTTGTTAACTTCTGATTATGTTTTAGTTTTCTGTCCAGTTGATGGCTGCATGCTGTTTAAGAGGCAATAGAACCTCCCCATTTCATCCAACCGATCATTGCTGTTTCAAGTATTCTTTGTGTATTGATTAGATTTGAAAAAAAGGGATGTTCTTTCTCCCAATGCTTTGCATCCTTTGCATCCATGGATTTTACCTTATGTGATTCCTTAGTGTGTATGGTATGAAATGCCCCTTTCTTCTTAAACTGTTACTAATTTTGTAATTATCCATGTTATTGCAAGTTAGTCATGGAGATCGAAAGAGGCTATTGCATCTTTGTTTTGCTCTGTTTAGTGTCTTGTTTAAGTCTTGTACAGTAGTCTAACCTCTGTATTCTACTTGTAGAATTTCCTGTTACCTTTGAATGTTTTCTATTATCCTTACATTCTGGCTGCGAATGAATAGAACATGCTCTCCATATTCATTTAGTTTCTGTGACTGTCTTGCATGAAAAGAATATAGTCCTTGGACAGTGCATTCATAAAGGCTTACCATTCCATATGTTTTCCTATCTATTTTTCAATCTGATTACTGCATATTAAAAATAGTGTACATGCAAATATTACAGTAGGAATATTTATAGAAGTACCATCAGTAAACAGCTTAGAAAGAAGTCAGCCAACATATCATAGTTATTTTATTTCACCAAAATTGATTATTTAACATGGCAGTTAGAGAACAAAGTAAATGGCTGCAGGTTAATGATATATAGCTTAGGAACTTCATATGGCAGAGATTGGTGTATTTTGCAAAACCTTTAAGTCTGGCAAAGTATTTTGTGGATGTAGGACTTCCTCAGCATTTACTGGCAACCCATGAAGTTATTTTGATTGTCTATTTATTTCTAGTTATTCCCCCCTTCTTCTTCTTTGTGATTTGGACAAGTCATATTTAGATTTTTCCTTCTCAGTTTTTTTTTTTTTTTTTTTTTTTTTTTTTTTTTCTATTATAATTTGTTAAGCCCTTTCACCAGGACAGCTATGTTAGTTTATATAGGATTAAGTCTGTATTAGATTGCATTTTTCCAGCCCTGGCAGATCATGAAAGCAATTAGAATGCACAAGAGACACACAAAGCCTTTCTATTTTAGTCATTTTTTATTTTTTATTTTTATTTATTTATTTATCATTTTTTGTTATTTTTTTATGAAGGGAAACATTTTTGTCTGGTGAAAGGGTTTTATGGAGATAAGGCAATGTTTTAAGGGAGAAAAAAAAAATCACACAAATAATGAAGAGCTTTGGTGAAAGGACAAAATAAAAAATAAAAAGAGAGAGAGAGAGAAAAAAAAGATAGATTCCAACGCAGACTTCTTAATAGCTTCAGAGCCATTCCCCGTGAGTCGGTCGTCCTTGTTAACCGAGATCTCCAAGCCACGCCCACCCAACTGCACCAACACAATGCCAGTGGCTGCCGTCACCTCTTCGTCGGCTCAAGCTCCGATGGGCGGACAGGCAGAGAAAGAGAACCTGCCAGATGACGAGGCTGCCAGTAAGGATGATTGCTTTTTCATGATTGGTTGGGACGTGTGTGCTCGTGTGTAGGACTTTTTTCTTTCCCCTCCCCGTTTCTCTCTTGCCTTTTTGTTTTTTTGTTTTTTTGTTTTTTCTTTTTTTCTTTTTCTTCTTCATCTTCTTCGTCTTCATCTTCGTCTTGCCTAGATATGCAGTCAAGATAGTTTTTCTTTCATTTTTTTTTTCTTTCTTTCTTTCTTTCTTTTTTGGGGGGGGGATGTAGAGGCCTTGAGTTTTCCTTCTTTTTCTCAGCTTGTAAAAATTGTTTTGTATGGTTTGCGTAGACTATTATTAACCACTGGTTTGTCAACACAGACACAAGCATGTTAGAACTAAACACGTACAGTATGGTTTATGAGTTTCCGTTTCGAGCTGTTCATCTGTTTGTCTATTACATTGTCTTTCTTTCTTTCTGTTTTTTTTGTTCTGTTTCTTGTGTTTTTTCATCTATTCCCTCCTCATGCATTTCCTCATTGCCTTCTGTAATTAGTGAGAATGTTAAAGTTGGAAAACTATGTATGGGATGTATGAGTAGTGCTCATACATTATATATTATATATATATATATAATCTGTGTTTGTGTATATACATGTGTATGTATATGTGTATATGCATATGTGTGTGTGTGTGTGTGTGTGTGTGTGTGTGTGTGTGTGTGTGTGTGTGTGTGTGTGTGTGTGTGTGTGTGTGTGTGTGTGTGTGTGTGTGTGTATGTATAAACTGGAGTTATTAAAAAAAGTTTTTGTGTAAATTTTTTCATATCAAAATTAGTTCCTATCTAAGTTGTAAATTTTTCACTACATTAAAGAAAATCCTGATTATTTCTGAGATATAAAAATCAGTAGCATCCACTTAAAAATAAGGATTAAAGTGACATTAGTATTTAACATTAATACCATAACATTTTCTTTTAACAGGAAAAAAGCCTGGAGAGCACACCTCCACTTCCCCAAAAGGAGACACGGCCAAGTGTGAATTCTGCGGAAAGACCGACTTGCGATCCAAGTTCAAGAGATCAAAGAGATTCTGCAGCACGTCTTGCGCAAAGAGGTACGTTGGCTAAAGTGCTTTCATGAGACCTGGAAAAAGTGCATAACCCTTTTTGTATCATAATCCGAACCTTTTAATTTTGCATTCACATAACATGCAATACGGATGTTTTAGTTTGAGTGTGATTTGCACTATCATTTCCCCCTAAATAAGCCAGCCACACATTTGACCTCCCTCTTCCATTTCACCCCCAAGGTACAACGTGGGCTGCACCAAGAGAATCGGCCTGTTCAGAAATCCAGAGGAGTCTCCCTGCAAGCGCATGAGGGAGGACGACAGCCTGGAGGAGCCCGACCACGCCCCCCAGCTGGAGGTGGCCGAACCGCAAGACACGGGGAGTGAGATGGAGGTGGACGATGGAACCACGGCCGTCGAGGGGACTCCCCTGCCCTCCGCAAAGGTGGAAGAGGAAGATGAATCCACAAACACAGAATCTCCCACGAAGTCCCCCAGAGTTGACATCCTTAGGTGGACGGTACGGATCCCTTGCCATTCCTTTTCTGGTTGCTTTGGGGCAGGTTACAGTTTTGAGAAAATGGTTGATGGTTCACTATTATATTGGTTTAATTTTGATTACAAACTACTTTAACTATAAAATGTTGTTGGAAGAATTCTGTAGATTACAATCACCAAATCAACCTCCATTTATTCCATTTAAGGGAAAGTGATGCCATTTCTTTAAATACATCCAGTCCTTTTTATGGTGGCTTTATGACCTAATACACATTAATCCTTTCTCACAGGTCAAGGACGTGGTCGACTTCATACAGAACCTTCCTGGGTGTAAAGAATACGCAGAAGACTTTGCGCTTCAGGAGATTGATGGCCAGGCACTAATGTTACTGAAGGCAGATCACCTGATGTCTGCCATGTCCATGAAGCTGGGACCCGCCCTCAAAATCTGTGCAAAGATCGAGTCAATGAGAGGTGACAGAAAGGAAACATAATGAATGAATCTAAAAGGGTGAAAGAGGATGGATCAAGAATGAGAAAGAAGGAAAGAAAGAAAAAGAAAGAGTATGAAGTTTCAACAAATATTTTGGGCCAACTTTATGAAGTAGGAATTTTATTGGGGCTGTGTTGTTGTTGTTTCTCTCGTTCTTTCTTGTTTATTCTCTCTCACTTTGTCACCACCCTTTGCCCCCTAATTCCTTCCCTCCCTTTTCTTTCCATGAATTTTCCTGTTCCAATATTTTCCACAAAGAAATGAAAAAAAAATAAAAAAAAACTTTGCTCATCTGTCAGATCAACTTCCAAGTAAACCATAAGAAAATAAATTTTTAAAACTGTTGTTTTAAATATCGGAACCCATATCTAGTGTACATATAATAGTACTTACGGGGAAAGTGAGGAGTGAAAACCGAGTTAACGTATAATCGTCTAAACCCTGACTGTGACATTCTTTGCACTGCCGTTTGTAGGTTAAGGTATTTTTCACCAACTGAGCGTTTAGAATTTGAATGTAATGTGTTTTTCTATAGGTGAATGTGGATAAGATATGTGGAGCTTATATCGAGTGTACAAGTGGGAGACAAACTTCTTTTTTGTTTTTACCTTAATTTATTTGGGAATGGCCAACTACTGACCACAGCAGAATTGTACAGACAGTAGTTGCGTCAGGTTAGGGTAAACCAACCAGTGGAGTGGTGCTTGTATATTTTCTAAATATGGATCTCATTAACATCCTAATTAATTAGTCCTATGAATAGTGTGCAATCATGACAAAAATGTCAACGTATGGATGGGCTGTCTGGTTTCCGGCCATAACATGCCAGTTCTCGCAACCAAGGCTCAAGCAACAAGCAAAAATTTGTAGACTGGGAGGCAGTTGTGATCAAGTAGTTTGGTCTAAGAAAAGAAAAAAAAAAAAAAAAAAAAAACTTTTTTGGGAAGACTATTCAGCTTTATGATATTCGGTCTTATTTCACTGGTACCTTTTTTTTCTTTTTTTTTTTTAAGTCATCATTCTTATTACATATAATTTGTATTTATCCCTTCTTTTTTTTCTCTCTCTTTTTATTCAAGCTGAAGTGCACTATATGTATATTTCACGTGCTTTTAAAAGTTTTTCCTCGTCAGTTACCTGTTCTCCATGATGGGATATTAGGAGTATAAATGTAGTGGCACCTTGTAAAGAGAAACTCCTTGGTTGCTTCATTTATGCAAAAGCACGTAGACAAGCAGCTCCTCCCGCTAACAAGGAGGGGGGGGGAGTTCTTGCAAACTGTATGTTGTTTCCAAAAACTTGATTCCTATATGTTATGTTTTTTGTGTGTTTGTACAGCAGAATGTTTTTGTAAATTGATAGATTTAGATATTTATGGTTGTTGCACTGCCTGTGACACTCCATTTTGTCATATCTTATATGAATAAAACACATGTAAAGATACTTTTGATTTTGATTTGCACAAGAATTAAAGGGAAAAATCTTTAAATTAGAAAAAAAGTCAAGATAATTTGCTGGGAAAAAAGCAAATTTTAACCCATTGCCTATGGGCATGCCATGCCCTGCCCACTGAGAGATTACTTGTTTGATTGTTTTAACACATAGATGGCTACACTTGTATTAAATCACCTGTCTCTCCCATTTACCCTTTTCTTTGATTTACAGAATATTTTACATTCTTATTTTGCTGTTACTAATGTTAAAAAAACACTATAATAATTATAATATTTATAATAAAAATAACACCAATATTCATGGCACCAGTGAAAAATACATTTTTACCACCGTTTCAAATCAGGCACTAACAGAGCCATCTATGGGCAGACATTTCACAAAAAAAATATAGAAAATAGGCACGGCATTTTCCCCATTTTTTGTTCATTTTCCCCGGCAGCAATGGGTTAAAAATAGTCAGAAAACTTGTATGCAGAATTGAATGAAAATACAAATCTCAAGGTTAACAATTAAAATTGCAGGTCTTTGCAAATGAATAAAATATTGTATCTTCCTGCTTTGGACTTTGGACAAATAATTAGAAATTTAAAGTACTATTAGAAAGCCCATACTTAAACATTCTTGAAAATTCCAGTACAAAGCAAAAAAAAAAAAAATGTCTTGGTGATATAGAAATGATGCATCCATAGAAAATATAATGTACAAAAGATTACTTCCTAAGCTACAAGCTAAATGTAACAAAAAAATATCAAGCATGGTCTTCAGAGAAATAAAACTTCAACAGAAAGAGGTATGTTCAGGCATACGAAAATGTCTAATTAAAGAGAAAAAGTAAGGTCTTTCTTGTGACATATATCCAATAAATGTATATACATGTACAAGTTACTATTTATTGTTGCATAGCCTTCATAACAATCATATTTATATCAATACACATCTTCATATACAACCATACAGACATCTATACATACATATCACCCACACAGGCATGTTCTTGCATATTCATGATCTGAAAATACTTTTGGCATTTTACATAACAATATACCTGATATCTCAACAGGCTGTGTTGTTTCTCCTTAGAAAGTTCAAATATCACTATAGAGTTAAGACACACTTCAGTATTACATATGAAAAAGGAAATCCTACACACAATCACAATATATAGGAACATCAGGTATTATATAATTATCAACATAACAGTTAATATTTTGGGGATAAACAAAATTCATGGTACACAGAAATATGTTTATAAAACTTTTTGAGGTTTTATTATACTCTTTATCAACAATCCATCTGTAGTACATACATGAAAGAATAGGAATAAATCTGCTATATGAGGAACAAGTTTGATAAAAAATAATGAATCCTTCTAGAATGAAAATATATCACAATCTGGGAAATGAGCGAGTAATGTAACATTTCTCCTTCAAATTCTACTATCATTCAAGGTGTTGCGAATGTGGCACAACGATGGTGATCCCCGACCCTAAGTCAGTGGATTCTTGTACTGTCGCCTGACTGCTGAATCGGTTCGTTAAGGTACGGCTTAATCGACTAATTTCTGACAAGACTTGGGAGAGCAGGGCGTTCGTTTGGTGCTGCGCCTCGCGTTGCTGTGATGCATCATCCAGGCGGGCCTCCAGGCGTTCGAGTCGTCTGCTTATGGCAAGGTTTTCCTCCAGGCGCTCTAGTCTGAGGCAAACTTCTTGCAGCTCCCCTGGGGTAACAGCACCATCCAGGAGGTTGGGCGACCTGGCAGACCCACCGGCCATGGAAGAAGGGATGGGGGGTTCTCTCATCTCAAGCATCTCCTCACTGGGCTCATCTGTATAGTCGTCATCTATGTCCTCCACTTCTTGCTTGAAGAATCTCTGCTTCTTCTTTTTCGGACTGCTGCGCAACATTTTCCCCCGGCGCTTCAGTGAATTTGTCCCGTCTAAGTCCGCTGAAACAACAAAAGTTTACCTTCATGGAGATGTCATGTATTAGAGAAAAGGTTTCCTATTATCTAAGCACTGGATGTGCTAAATAATTGGATATACTTTTCATCTACTTGATACATAAATTACAATTTCTACCATTTCTGTTGTCAAAATGGCAAACACAAAAAAATGAATTTCAAATCATTACTTGCATCTGTTACCTTGCTATAACCTTAGGTCATGACAGATATCAGTATATAATTCTATCACAAATAATCAAACCCTCCTTTTTAACTTCCCTTGCCCCCATACCACACAAATGTAGATCTCACTACCTGGTATCGGCATGCCCACAACCTTCATCACATGTCTAACTCTGGTGTAGAAAGGCCACAAAGGCAGTGTTCCAGTTGCCTCCACAGCAGCCTTGTGATGCTGGAAGCCCTGAGCTAAATTTGCCCATTTCCGCTTGCACTGTAATGCTCCTGCTTGGTGACCCTCCAGTTTCATCTGTTCTGAAACAGTCTGGGACAAATACATTTTGAAATGAGTGTTTGTCTCATCTTCATAGATCATATATAAAGTATCTTATATGACAAGAGATCGTATATTAATAATTGAGGATATTATGATTGTTTTAGTGACATTAATCTTTAATACTTAATATCTTACACACATTTCTAATAACAGGTTAACCAAAATGGAATATCCATGTTGAACTGTACATTAAACAGTTTCATAATGCATCCTTTTTACAGTTACTAAACCTAAAAGAATTAATCTTATCAAGAATCAATGTTTAGCATCCATAAAACTTAAATTTTAAGTTACCTGCAATGCAATATATATGAATATACATTCATAACAATGAAAGCAAGGTCCCTCAAAGATCTTTTAACACTCCAAAGAATTAAAACTATCATGGCTAAATATCCACAGAAAACAGCATCACCAAATCATACACCAAAGAGAGTAAAATTGAAGTACTCCATTCTCCTCACCTCCCAGATTGTGTTGTCATCACGGTCTGTCTCTCTATCTGTGAACCAATCTCTAAACTCCAGTAAAAGATCGAGCAGCATCTGCACAGCGGCATCACTCCACTCCATTGGACCTATTGCAGATATCAGTCAAAATAACATTATCAGGAAATAGTCATTTTCTTTAGGCATGAATTGATAGTATACATGACTTTACAGTAATCAAACTGAGAGAAAATAGGCACACAGTAAAGAAATATATATATATCTTTTTTCAACCATATAGTTATATTACTGGATTTTATTTATAGAGGTCATACAAATAAAAAATATAAACAGAAAAGAGGAAAGTAAAACTTTATGGAAATGACCTGAAACTTTTATTCCTCAAGATATATTGCTAAAATCAATAAATAAAAATTAATAAGGTCAAAAACTTACCATCTGAAGTTATATCTGAAAAATCCTCATCTTCTGTATCATTGTGAGTCTTGAATTCATGTATAGTATGCTGTGCCCGTCTGTTAATAAAGGTGTAATGTTAAAAACAAAACTGACCAGAATGACACTGAAATAACATTCAATACATTTTGAGAGTTATGATGTAACATATACCAAGCCAAGAGAGATTAATTTTCTTCTCACATCAAAAGAAGAGATGTCATACAGATATCCAAAGAAACTTTTTTGCATAAAAAAACTATTTCAGCCAGTTATAGTAAGAAATATTTTGTATGAATGCATTTAAATAAAAATTATTGATTAATTCTATTCACAGTGACTTTCTGTATTGGATTACCTGTAATATATACTCTGTATGTGTGGAGTCAGATGAACAGTGTATGAGAAAAGAATATAGTACATCATTATATGTACAGTAATAGCACTCTCTGGTATCTAGTAATGGTATGTAATTTGTCTTCTTTTTCACTATGTTGCTCATTATAAGTCCAAGGGCAGAGCTGGGATATTAAGAAAGGAGAGGGGAATATGTGCATTTTCAGTAATGTATGTAACTTGTCTTTTTGCCATGAAATCTAAGTCAGATTATGCAGCTCATGTATGTATGGGGTGGGAGGGGAAATGAGGAAAATGTTTGGCTCCGAATTTTTAGAGAATGTCACACTCCTCTCGTGTACTTCACATGGCTGAACTGTTTAACTTTTTGCCTTTCCAATACTTGCCTAAGTTATTAGTGAACTGTTCAGAATTAACTGTTAAATGTTAAAACTTCATACATCCAAAGAGAGGGGGAAATCTACCCTCAATCTATGCCGCTGCATGTATGTATACATGTATGGTATATGTACAGAAGGAAGGAAGGGAAGGAAAGAAAGAAAGAAGGGATAGAGGAAGGAAGGAAGTAAAGGATGGATAGAGGAATTAAGGAAGGAAGGGAGAGAGCAAAATAAGGAAGAAAGGGAGAGAAGGAGGAAGGAAAGAAGGAAGGAAGGAAGGGAGGAAGAAAGGATGGAAGGAAGGAAGGGAGGGAAGGATAGAGAGAAGAAAGGGAAGAAAGAGAGGAAGGAAGGGAAGGAAGGGAGGGAGGGAGGGAGGGAGGGAGGAAAGGGAGGAAAGGGGGAGAAGGAAGGAAGGAAGGAAGGAAGGAAGGAAGGAAGGAAGGAAGGAAGGAAGGAAGGAAGGGAGGAAAAGGAAGGAAGGAAGGGAGGAAAGGGAAGGAAGGAAGGGAGGAAAAGGAAGGAAGGGAGGGAGGAAAGGGAAGAGAAGGATAGAAATATAGAAAGATAGATAGATAATAAGAGTGAAAGAGAGAGAAAAACAAAAGAGGAAGAGGAAGAGGAAGAGAGAGAGAGTGACAGAGACAGACATACAGAAAGGGATCTAAAACTACTAGGACTACAGGCAGAACCATACAAACCCACCCCAAACCAGGAAAACAAACCCCAAGCATCCATACCGATTTTCAAAATAGGCCTGAGTATCAGCATCGTCTTTGAGAAATTCATGCATGTTGTCGAAATAGTCAATCCTGTGTCCCGTCTTCTCGCCAGACATCTGCCTGTCCAGTACCGCCAGGTATCGGATCTGGAGTCGACAAAATGACAGGAAAAGGTTTGATTATGCAAGACACACGTAATCCTGAAGATATAGTATAAAGAAGGAAGGACGTAAGGAGGGGGGGAAAAAAAAAGGAACTTAATGGAAGATTCAGATCATAGGAGAAAAACACCATCACTGTAACATACTGCAATAAATAATAATTAAAAAACAACTACAGTATCATACTAGGTTCAGTGACAATAATATTTACTGAACATGTCCTGACAAGCTAAAAGAAATGAGAAGCATACAATTTACATTAAAGGAGGACTTCCACAGTTAAAATATTAACCACTACATAAATCATTTTTTATACGAAATCAGAGCCAAAACAGTTACTCGGATAAATAAAATTACTTTAAGATTTTTTCACAAAGGAGACAAGGCTGGGTGGGAATGAGACAGCTGAAAGGCAAAGCAGATTTATTTATGTACTTTATTACTTTATTTTTTCATTTATTAATCTATTCATTTATCTGCCTATTTATACATTATTCTATTAATCTATCCATCTTCCTATTTATCTGTTTACCTACCTATCTATTTATTCATCTCCTTATTCACTTCTTTATGTATCGGTATATTAACTCACATATCAATTTTATTCACTTATCAACCTATCTATTTCTTCCTTTACCAATTCAATTATTCACTTGCCATATCTATTTCTTCCTTTGACAATTTAATTATTCACTTATCAACCTATCTACTTATTTATCTATTCTTTTATTCACTCCCTCTTTCATTCATTTAGGAGCCCATGGACGATATGAAAAAAAATGAGTAAGCTATTGTCATCATCATTATCATTATCATCATCATTATTATCATTATCATCATTATTCTTTGTTCATGAACTCCTTAATATGAAAATAATTCTCTTATCAAACAACACCTGAAGATATTAAGAGGAGACAAGACCAAGTGAAAAGCATAAAAATATATGTACTTCTGGAGAGTTGTATAAAACTAGAGTATATATTTTGCTGAAAAATATAATAGTTTTGCATCCACACACATACACACACGCACAGATGAAGAACGATACAAAAAATATATAAAGTATAGATTTATTATTTCTGAAGAACAAAAAAAAAAATTAACACCTATACAATATATATACATACATTAAAATACACCTCTGAAAAATACAGGACTATACAACTATATAAAAGATATATACGTATAATTCATATAGATGTAAAACCATAATATAGAAATAAACAATATATCAAAACAAAATAGGACAAGAAAAAAAATAAAAAATAAAATAGGAAAATATAATATAAAAATATGAAAATAAAATAAAATATAAAAATAAGATAAGAAAATACAATATAAAAATAAGGTAAGAAAATACAAAATAAAAATAAGATAAGAAAATACAATATAAATAAGATACAAAAATGCAATAAAAAGAAAATATATATAAAAATAATAAATACAAAAAAATAATAAATATAAAAACATAAAAATAAGATGTGCATCATATCATACTATAATATACCATAAAAACCCAAAACCCCAATACCTTCAGATTCCTCCACTTCCTGTCGCAGTCATCCCCCGTTACAGGAAAGCCGTCATGGGTCACCTGTGTCGCAATGTCCTTCCAAATGTACTTCTTCTTGCGCACGCCATTGCAGAACTGCGGCCAGTGGTCCTTGACCTTGTTGATGAGACTGAGAACATCGTCGTGACCCCAGTGCACTCGGCCGTCCTTCTCAGGGGGGGTAGGGAGGACTGAGCTACCGATGGGCACTGCAGGAAGAGGAAAAAAAAAAAATTGAATGAATAAATAAATGAAAAGAAAATAAGAATGATATTTAAGTATCCAGGGTATCATGAAGTTTCATCACTGTTACTATTAATATGTATATACAGAAAGAGAAAAAAGAATGAATGAATAAATAAATCAAAATAAAGTAATAATAATGATACTTAATGATACCCTGGATACTTAAATTTCAGTACTATCAATATGTCATAATCATTATTATTATGATTATTATTACAATTACAAAGATTATCATCATGATTATTATTATGATAAACAAATTCCTTTTACTTAAACAAAATATACATATACCAAAAAAGTTATATACATTAA